CCCCTAAAGCTTGATCAAGGCTATCCCAGCAAGGTTGTCTTTCTTCTAGTGACAGCAAGAGATCTCCCAGGCAGGATTTGCACTACCTGGGTCATGTTCCAGCTAGCTGGACTGGTTTCTAAAAATCCAGCCAGCATTTCCCTCTTTGGGGACAGAGACAACAGATATTCCCCTCTTTTGGGGACCGGGCAGCAGACCTGCCCTCCCAGATGCATCTGCAGTGGGCCTGCTCTCCACCTGCAGCACCAGCTCACAGTCTGTGGTTGAATTCAGTCCAGGGCAAGCCCTCCTTGCTGTCCCACAGCTGCCCTGCCCTGCCTGTCCCCCTGCCTGTGCCTCCCTGCAAGGTCCAAAAGCTTTGCAGGCACACTGACATGAGGTGTGCTGTTCCCAGTGGTCTCATGCTCCCATGCCATCTCCACTCTTCAAGGCTAGTCCGTTGCCTCAGCCAGGAGAGGAAAGACGTTTACCTTCACATTTCCAGTATCCCCCAGGGGAACTTTAGAGGAGCAAGATGCTGCCAACAATAGAAACATGGCCAGGATACTCTGGCATACTGAGAAAGCTATCGCAGGGCAGGCTGCATCTCACTTGGCATTGGATGGTACCAAGCAGACATGTAAGTGATCTCAAAGCCCTGTTCTATCAATGGAGAGGCTGGCACTACTAGAGCATGAACCATCTGACTAATCATACCCCAGAGGTGTTTGTGTCCTACCATGGGTGCAGACACTGCCCATGGCAATGAGCCCGAGCACATCAGGCTCTGAACACGGTGGCAAGCTAAGGAAACATGTAGGAAATGATCCTGAGGTGACCTGTCATTTGTACGTATTTGAAGAGGGGGTGTGTATGAGACTATCCCTCCTGAATGTCTCCTGTACTTTCTCCTCCTTGGCAGCCAAAGAAAGTATCTCCTCTTCATGTAACAATGACGATGAATTTGTTCACAGTGCAAAGAAACCCCAAGCCTTCAACGTGAGTAAGTAACAGCCTCGGTAACAAGCACAACAGCCATAAGCTCTGTGCAGGAGGTGGGCTGTACACACAACTGCGATGAGGACACTGAACAGGGCTAGCCTGTCCCCAAATGGGACACTAAGGACCCTGTGACAAGCTGGACTCTGCAGAGCTGGGAGGTGCAGAACACAATCCAAGTCCCAGCAGGAGCCGCCTTCACTTGTCAGGACCCATTTGTTTGGGTGGGATGCCATCCCTGACACGCTCCCTTCAGGAGGAGGAAGGATTTTTAGACACAGAAATAACTGGCTGGCTGGCACACAGCTCCCCATTTCTTTCTCCAATTATTTTTTAAAGCTCTAGCTGAGCAGAGCCTTTCAGGAGGCAGGGCAGCCACTCCAGCAGAGCTGCTTGTGGGACACCAGCTAAGTGATGCTGAGAGGCCGCCTGGATAGACCATGCTTCTGCTAACGCTGAAGGATCGTCACTTTGGGCCAAATCCCTTTGCTCTAAGCCCTACTCCCTCCAGGGCAGCTGCCCCCAGCTGACTCCCTCCCTTAGCAGCACGCACTGATGAGACTTAGCTTCCAGCAGAAAACCCTTCCCTGTGGCACTTATTTATTAATAGGTGAGGGGTGAGCAGTTCTCGCCTCTCTCTCCTGCTCACACACTAGGTATCAATTTGGCAGCTGGCAGCAAATCCCATTAAGGCAGTGAGATACTTACAGGCATCAGCAGATCCCGGCCCATTACAAGAATGGGGGGGATGGACCCTGGTAATGTACATCCAAAACTGGTTGCATCCAACTGGAAACAAGGATCCTACCAAGATAAATATTAATAGAGTCTGCAAAGGCAGGAATGGGAATAAGCTCATTCATTAAATGACTTTGTCCATATTTAAGGGACCAATGCAGGATTTTAACAGAGGAAAGAGCAACAAGAAAACCCATGATGAAACTCCCCATATATTTCTTTTTTGGGCCAAAAGACTCAAATTCATGGGTAGCCCATCATGTCTGACATTTCCTAATTAGCCTATTAAAGCCCTGGAATCTGACTTCCCTCCATCACGCATGCATCTTGTTAACATGGTTTTGGCAGAGGGAGTGGAGGAAGACTACTTAGTTCTCAGCACATGAAAGCTTAGCAGGTAACAGAGCCAAGCATTGGTGGGCAGCTCTCTGAGATGCATGAGGGGGGCGTGCCACTTTCGTTGTGTCCTTTCTGGGCAATCATCTGATCTGCCGAGTGGTACGTGCAAGACCCACTGTTCTGCTGCCAAGTTGTTTCGCCTTCCTCTCTGTATGTGTGAAACCAGTCTCTGTCCTGCTGGGTAACACAGCTGAAGATCCACCTCGGGAAAGAAACACCCAAGGACTAAGTGTTGCCGCTTTGCTTCGCATGGGAGCATCCTCCTCTGGCCTGCTGCCCTGTGCTGTGGGCACGCCGTCAGCAGTGCAGATTGAGACTGAGCATGCCTCCCAGATAAGCATAGGGCGTCCTGCCCGCAAGGTCCATCTGAGACCAGAGCTTTTGCTTTCCTGCACATAACCCAAAGGTTCAAATGAGGAGAGTGGCATCAAGATGTTGCCCTGCAAGTGCCCCAGGGCCCCCAGCTCCTGGCAGCGCTGCTTTCTGCCACAGGACAGTGCCACTAAAGCCACAGTGCTCACGACGACTGCTTCGCTCCTCAGGCCTTCCAGTCAGCTCTGGACACTAAATCCTCATGGTGGCACTGCCGGGACACAAGGGCACGTGGCTTCAAGCCCAACTCACATACCCATCCCTACTGATACGCACCTGAGAAAGTGCTGGGTCACCAGCTGATGCAGTGATCAATAGAGTGGACACCTTCTCCTGTCTCTGAACATACACGCCATGCCACCACATGGCATGTGACTGCCTTGTTAGGCCATCAGAGGGGCAGAGTTGGTTAGTAAGGGGTGGTTGTTTTGAAGGTCACACACTGCCTGCACCCCTGAGAGTTATCACTGGGGTACATGAAGGGAAGTTAAAACAGAAAACCCTGAGTTAAATGGTTTTGATGAAGTCCTCAGTGACTCTTACTTCCCACACAAGAGGGCAGAGCTTTTTTTCATTTCTCCAAGCCCTCTCCTCCACCACAGAGAAGCTCTAGCCCCAAGCACATACAGAGCCAAGTTATGTTTGCTGCAACACAAGCTCACAGATGCTTTTGAGAGTACTTTCCAGATCCATACCCAGAGTTTTGCATCTGCAGATGCACATGTGCAGACCCATCTAGTTGCCCCAGTTTCCACACACAAAAACTCAGTTATGCTTTTTTTTCCCCCTCTTCCCCTTTGAAATCAAAGATGCAAATTGAGAAGGAGGCTTTGAATATTTGGAGAAGACAGTCCTATCCATCACCCACTGATACAACCCTGGCTATAGAGAAGGGCCTGACTGTCAACAGTGCTGAGTGCCAGCGAGGGCTGCAGGCTTCAAGCAGGCAGGGAGGGTGCACAGCATTTCCGAAAACTATGCTGCCATTGTCTTCTTTTTTTTACAAGGTCAGATTTTTTTTTTTGGTGATGGTCATGGTCAGTGACACTGGAAAAAAGTCAATTTTAGGAGCCCGTTTAAGGACACAAGCACTGTTGTTGGGTGACATCTGATGGGAAATCCTGCCTGCATCCATAGTATTGCACAAAATCATATGCCACATGGTTTTTAATGATTTTTGGTGGATGATTTCCTCTAGGATGTACTAAAACTGCAAAAATAGCTTCAAGCTCTGGACTATTTTGTAGGAGAAAGTGGTGCAAGTATCACCACGACGAACCAAAGTTTTGTGTCTTTCTCTATTATTCTGCTCCTCTACGTTAAGCTGACCAGTAGAAAGAAGACACAAACCAATTCATTAAGTCATCATACAATTACCGTTTTATCAACTGATTTAAAATATATATCTAACATAGTAACTTAAACTGGAAAAAAATATGATGATGCTTGGTTTCAGACTGCCAACATCAATAAAGTTGTAAGGCACAGTCATTTGGATCAGCATCTCACAGTCTGCAGTCACTAAAACGGATGTTTTGAATCACACCCAAATATAAAGCAAATGCCTCATTGAAAAAACAGATTATTCCCTAACTTCCCTGCCTTGTCTTTGCTGTAGCATTACTGAAAATTATTCAGTCATATGAAATTCAAAAGTCTATTCGATCTAAAAAAACTAGAAGTGGGATGCCTGGCTCTAAGGCACATGCAGGGGATCCTCTGACACCTGCTTACAGAGGTCAGCTCTGCTAATGGAATTCCGGTATGCAATGCCTATCCATAAGAAGCGGGATAAATCCTTCCAGGTAGCTACAGAGCAAACAAACATGTTAATATTGGGATGAACCACTTGGTCAGCATTTGCTCCAATAGCAATACAAGCAAAAAGAACCCCAGATGCCTGTGAATGGGGTGAGCTCCTGTAGGGGCATCAGCTCTGAAACCACCCAGCCTTCCTGGGCTCTTCCTCAGGCAATGCATCCCTCCCTTACAACCCGCTCTAGTCAACGCTTCCTCTCAAGTCCTTCGCTTTGTCCCTTGCATGTTAAACATCCAGGACTGCAAAAGATACACCACAGGGCTGCTGCTAGGTCAGGTGGCTGAGCATGAGAGGGAATGCCCGGTGTCCCTCACCTCCTCCAGCCCACTCCACAAACTGCAGGCTCCATGCTCTGCTTGGTTCAGTGTTCCTGCCTGACTCATAGGGCAGGGCATGGTGTGGATGAGAGGAAATACATTAGGACTTGTTCTGTTTTAGTGTATGAAGGCTGCAAAAATAACCACGTTTTTCTGTAATCAGAGGTTGATTAGCTCTTCTGTTGATCAGCGGGTGCTCTTTAAAGAAAGCATTTCTGGACCAGCTGTAGCCTTAATTGAGGCAAATCATGTCATTTGAACAGCTCTACTTGCACAGCTCTGCGTTTAGCTTGTGGAAGAAGAAGAAAGATAGCATTGATCCTTCAAGACTGTGCTGTGTGCATGGCTCCCAACACACGCTGCCACCTGGGTATCTTCTAGGACCAGGAACTTTTGTTCTGCGATGTTGTTGAGGCAGTGGGTCTGTCTGGCAATGACTGCAGTATGGCCCTGGCAGTCAGGGGCCAAGCAGTGTTCATCAGCCCAAACCTCTCCAAGGCTTTTGTGGACGAACAGACATCTGACTGGTGGTGGTTGATCTCTCCAGGAGGGCTCTCATCCATCATGGGCCTGAGGAAAAGAGAGAAACATTGTGAAGCTGCACTCTGGGTCTGAATATCTGCATTCTCCCCACCGGCTCTGCCATCTGCTCTGAAAACTGAACCAAAAGCTGCCAGGCCTGTGAGCAGCACAAGGCACACCAGCTTCCCACACAAGGCATGCACTTTCTGCCTATACTGCTCTATAATGACTATGTTAACTTCAAAATCAAGGTGTCATGTCACAGCTCCTCAGTTTTATTTCTTCAGAGAAGCAACACGATGCTAATCTTACAGTAAGTGGGTTCAGAAATAACTGTGGTTTGGTGCATGTGACGCTTATATAATGCCTACTTTATTTTCCAAACCTCTTTCTAACATGAATTAATGTAAGTTTCAAGGGAAGAAAACTGAAGTGGATGTCAGGAACTTGTCCTGGGGTTTACCCAAGGAGAGTCTTGAACAGGCACCACTACAAGAGTTCTGCAACAGACACGGGCATTGGCCCTGCATGGGGAACATGGGAATGGAACAGTAAGAACACAGGAAAATTCTGGGCTATCATTCAAGAAAATACAAAATTTCAAATGCTCAAGCTATAAGGAACATAAGAAAATGTTTCATTTAGTGTTAGACATCAAAAGTAAATGTCAGCACAAATATAGGGAGATCTTTTTACAGAACAGGCAGGAGACTCCAGAGACGACACAGAAATCTGCTTTTTCCTGCTGTGAAGTCCCTTCTGTTTTCCCCAGACACACTGCAGGCAGTGCTTCTGGCAGCACACATACCTGATGCTTGTTGATCCAACAGCTGCTGGTCCTGAAATAGGCCTTCGCTGGCTGGTGGTCCCAGCAGGCTGGCGCTGCCCTTGGGATCCAGAGGCAGCTGGCATGCTGTGCTGGTTCAGGAGAGCAAGTTCCTTGCCCAGAGGGCAGGCTAAAGTTTCTTGATGAACCCTTGCCTGGCATTGCTGTGTCCACTGCCTATCCTCCTCTTGGCTGGGTATTTTTAGGTGTCTTATCTGTGTTTTCCAGGGTCTTGCTGCAACACCCATTACAGATGCAGGTGAAGGGCTTTTTGGAGGAGACGGGATTAGACAACGGTTTGGTTTGGAGGACACTGCACTTTCCTGAGCCTGTGATGAACCTGAAACAAGGGAAGTGCAGTGATTTACCAGTTCATCTTACTCTTAAATGACTGACCCAGTGAGGGAAATGTTTTGGAGAACACTGTGTGATGGAGCTGGGTGGGCAGACGTGGGCCAGGGCACACAGCAATGCTGGCCTTGTTGAATTGCTTCCTCTGATAGTCAGGGGTTTGGGTTACTTGGCAGCCTCCCTGCCAGTACTGCTGGTGACGTGCCAAGCACCGAAACTGTTCATGAGCCGTGCACAGCTCAAGAAGGACAGACCAGCCCACCATCCTCCTGTTCCCAGGTGGGATCATACCTGCATCATTCCTGGCCCATGTTTGCACTTACTTGTTTTAAATACCTGAGGATCCCATCCAGAGATCTGAAATTCGGGGCATAGGAATAATCACAGAAAAGTGGATCCACTTTGTTTTTAATCAGAGGCAGAGGTGTAAGAATAAGATCTTGAGATTAGCTTTAAAATTACGGAAAGTGCCTGACTGCTAGGGAAAATACTGCACTACATGCAGGGCTATTATCTGGCTGTTCATATTTTAACCCATGTAATCCTCAGGTGCAACATACAGAGAAGAAAAATCTTGTTGTTGACTTATGAATACAACATGCATGCATATATGCTTAAAAGCATTCTATATATAGCAGGGATCCGATTGCTCTTGTCTATTAAAAGAACCAACTGTATCTAAGTGCCTGATGTGCAAGGTCCAGGGCAGGAATACAATCTAAAGAATGTGCTACCAAAACCGAGGCCCAGAAAGTTCGGCTCCTCATTGATGGGGATGTATTTTACTGCTTAGGTAACCACATAAAGTTGATATAAAATTTTCACTGAACAGTTTCCATCATACTATATGCTTTAAAAATGCCTAAATTTCCTAGAGTTTTAAATTTTTTTTTAAGTAAAGACACTCTGAAAGACTGGTATGCCTGACTTAAGAGCCCGAAATAACACTCAATGGCTTCCAAAGACTGCAGATATATGGATCTGATGCTGCAAACACTTTTACATAAGTTTTTTTTGAGCGGTTTTGCTCAGGTGACTTGTCCTTTCCTGGTCAGGATTGTTTCCAGTAACAAGTTCTTCTGTGAGAAAATCGCACTGGGTAGGACAAACTTCTGAAGTTAAGTGTTGAGGCATTTAAATACCTCTCCAAATCTTGACACAGTCTCAAGTCACAGAGTTCAAATGTATTTTTAACTGCCTTGCTGAATAAAGTCTATCAGTTGATAAAGTTTTATCAGGTATTTGCTCTGCAAAACACATATGTCCAGCTGCTTGTGATTTGGGATCTGGGTCATCTGTCCCCACCCTCCCTCCCCCAGGTAATACCATCAATCTTGTAAACAAATCCTAGCAGATTTGGTTACAATGGGCAGATCTATGAACCATTCACTTTTGTAGTTCTACAGGGCATGACACTGGTACACTGTGAGATGTTTGGGGTATTGTCTACTCAATCTAAAAAGACAATGAGATCATAACAAATCATACTCAATCTAAAGAAATCATATTAAATCTAAAAAAGATTAGATTAAATCTAAAGAGACCATGAGAACATAATCTAAGACTTCTGAGGTCACTGGACAATAGGCCATTCCTTTATATTTTTCCAAACAGCTTCTGTTCTTGTGAAGTAGGTATTGTTTATATTACTGTTAATACACAGAGGTTTTAAATAGTTTAATGATACTTCTGTTTTTTCCAAAATATTATATTTTTCCAAATTTTAATAGATCCATTTTTGCCCTTGAAAGAAATGTAAAATGAAAACTCACATGCCAATATTTATTGAGGCAAAAAAAAGTTATTATTAAGAATAGAAATAGGTTAAAGTTGTACCTTTGTAAGCTCCTCTACTTGACATGTATTTAGAATAACCATTATGAACATTTCTAATATTCTTAAATATGATATTAAACAAGTAGTGAAGAGCAGGAATTCTGCATTCATTCATGTAAATGCAATTCCAGAGAGGTCTTTGGCTTTGTTCCTGAGTAGAAGAACACGTTTCATTTCTAAACTCTTTACTGAATGCATCCCTTTGGTTGCCTATCTTTCCAGAATTCCCAGTTGACCGGTTAAACCTTGATCATTAGTTCAGCTAGTATTTCCTTCACTGCCAACTAGGGTAAAATATAGCTCAGCTGGAACAACAGTATTTTAGACTCACCTGGCACTTCCATAAATTAATGACACAAGGTAATAGACAGAAGCACATCCCACATCCTTCCTCTAGACTTGATGCTAAGCTGGTGTAAGATCAGCTTTATTCCTCTTAATTCTGCAGATCCATGCTGAAATACATCAACTGATGGTCAACACAGCTGGCCACCGTGTCTTGCTTAAAAACTGGAATGGATACTTAGGGCCTGGCTCTGCAATAATGATATTTCCAAATTGCTGCTTTAGAGCACAGAAGCCAGATCTCATAAAACACTGCAATTACTAATACACCTATCTACAAACAGTTAGTAGCACGTGCCATTACCCAATGCTAACCCTTTTCCAGAGGTTTAGGTCCAGTACCTGAGGAAGACTGTGAGAGACAGGATTGGCAAGAGGAATCAAGAGAAAGCCTTTCAATGAGGTCCTCATCACAGCTCTCCCTCAACTGACCTTCGCAGCTGTCAGTCAGGCTGCAGTCTTCACCCTCTTCCTCATCACTAAGAGTTAACTTCAGTGCTTGGGTGGCCTTTTCTTGCTGATCTGTTTGCAGGCACCTGGACAACATCAAGTATCACACCTTGAGTTAGCCTTTGTGCAGCCAGCCAAGTGTAGCTTGGCATGGCCACACAGACAAACATACAGACAGTGGATTTAGTCACCCACTGTGACTTCCCACTTTCCTGGAGATATGGAAAATCATTCTAAATGGATCATCCATCTAAGCTGCTGGTGTCTCATTATCTGAAAGTATCCTAAAGTTAATCAAGTGAAATGGGGCAGATTTAAAATACTACACCGTGAAGTAAGCTCAGAGAAACAAAGCCATTTTTACTTCCAAAACAACCATCATCTGTCTATGAGATGGGAGAATCTCAGCATGGCATTATTTTCCCTTCAGTCTTTCATTTGATTAGGCCGATGTGATGCTTGCGTCATCCACTTTCACTTCTTTCACTCTCCGGAGGTAGACACTGTCAGGAAAAGAATATCTTACCAGTTATAAAAAGTCATTTCCTTGCCCTCGCTAAGCAAGCGAGCCCACTCTGCCTATGCTGGTCTTTTGCCTGCTCTGGAGAGACGTCAGAGCTTCCCCTAGGTTCCTCCTGCCTTGCTCACCCTGCAGATGCTCCAGTGGGGAGGACCGATGGAAGGATTGCCACCGCAGGGACAGGAAGGCAGGAGGCCAAGCCTGTCCCCTGAAACCGCCACCAGGTGGCCAAAGAGTTTATTTTATTATTACAGTGGAAAATGAATGCCCGTTTTGCCACATGACAAGATTTTTCCCATGGTCTCACCGCTTGCACTGCTCTCTCTGGACTCTCAGTTCAGAGAACACATCTCCTTGGTGCAGAGCTCCTCCTCCTCCAGAGCCATAAAAGTTTTCCATCCTGAAACCGCACAGTTTCGAAGCACTCACTGCAGGTGGCTGCAAAAATGACAGAAGTTATCTTGATAACCTCAGGAGCTCTCCCCAGCTCCCTTTCTAGATTGTGGATTTTAGAAGGCATCAAAGTCCACTGTTATTCCTGAGTTTTCAGATCACCCCTCACCATTTTGTTGCTCTTCAGTTTTAAGAAGCCCCACACCCCAGCTGCGTGCACTGTTACAGCTTAAGGAACCCAGGGTGGCAATATCAGAAATGTTGATTTATATCTCGGTGGTGTATAAGCCTGTAGCATCTATGCCAATAAGCATGTTAAGAACAGTACCACAGAAACTGCATCCTTCAGCATATGACCACAGTCCCCTTCCACATCCTAGTTTATAAAACACAGTAATTGATGCAAACGTTCAAATTTGTTTCAGAAAAGCGCTCAGACAGTGGCAGCAGAGAGGCAAGGGAGGGACGCATTTTTTTTCAGTGGTTCTTTAACATCTGTTGTCATCATTAAGCGAGGCTGCTGACAGCACAGGGATGCAGGTGTCCTGTGCATGTGGTTTCCCTGATTTAGCAAAGCCTGTTTAAACATATGTACCTGCATCCATGCTGCACTGAACCTCAGGGCCCACAAAAGCTAACCATGACTAGCCAGCCTGCTCCCCCTTACACACATGGGGACCTCTGCACCCTCTCACTAAGTTACTGCTGCAAAGAGCAGGCTGACCCACAGGCTGGAGTATGATCCCACCGCCAGGACGAACAAACTTTGACTTTGTGTTTGTTTAGTCAATAGGAATGACCTAGCAGCATTAGCGATCTGTCTATTTATGCCAACATCAAAGAAACACTGCTGAAAAAACTCTTTTGCTTAATAGCTGTTGCAGAAATACCATCACATTTTGCAATCCTGCCTTGCGCTTTGCTCAGCCAGGACGATACGAAATGCACCGCCAGCAGCTGATACATGATTTTCACGTGTTCCTTTACACATGGTTAATTGCTGCTAGCACATCAGCACCATTGTAACACCAGGGCAAGAGACTCTCCGTCCTCCTCAAGGCCAACTGCGTGTTGGGGAGCTTTTGGGCTACAGAAGACAGTGAGCCGCCACAAGCCACTGTAGGAGTTCAGTTTATCCCAGGATTTATGGGGGTCACCAGGCATGAATACAAAGTATACAAGAAAAACATACACCTAGCTTTTGCCTCCTTGCACAAAGGGCCTTGGTGGGGTTCCCACATATAACTTGACTGAGTCCTAAGAAAAAAGGGAAAAAGAAAACATTTTACTTCAGCATTAAACAAATTGTGCCGCCTTTGAAATCAGTCAACATCATTTCCCTTAGACAGGGGTCTGTAATATTTCATGGTGTAGGTTCATAGTGTCAGCTGGCATGGCCAAACACTGTTGCTAAGAGGCAATTTCTCTGTTTCTACCAGAATCTGTCTCCTTCTGCTCCTGCCCTGCTTCCTCCACTGTAGTGGTGCAAACACTTGTGTGGCCACATGGTGAGTCAGACCAGGGAACAGATCCAGATTAAAACTAAATATGCTTTTTTGGTTCTTTTTTGTTTGCTTTGCCGGGTTATTTTTCAGCTGGATCTCTATCAGAATCAGGTTCCCCATGTGGCCATGCAGACGCTTTTGCCAAAACAAGAGACAAGGCAGCAAAGGGGCAGGAAGAAGCAGTGAACATTGGGTGAAACTGTTTCTATCAGTAGTGCTAGCTACCTAAAGCGCCCATGAAATTATGGTCACATTCCCTGGCAAGCTGTACTTGGTTTCCATGTACTTTTCCAGATGTGCACTCAGCTGTTGACACTGCATTGATTCATCTAGTTCATCATCCTGAGTCCTACCTGCAGCAAGGAACTGAGGTGGGACTGGCATCTGAGAGAAGCAACCCACAATGCTAGGAAAACAAACACCATCTTCCTATCTAATCTGGACTCTATGGGCCAGTGGAGTTGCACTGTCAAGGTCTTTCCAGAAGCCAGGGAAGGATGTCTGGGGAAATGCTAAATATTGTACCAGAAGTGAACTCCCTTTCCAGACAGCTGTCCCCAGAAGCTGCTAACTTGCTAGTACTTCCAGGTGGCCAGGGCACAAAGGGCAGTGGTATGTCTGTACATCGGATATGTGAAGTCAAGGAACTGACTCCTCTTGCTGAAGTACCCAGCCCTGGAAACTCAAAAGAAAGTGCTCATTGACAGCAGCAATGCTGCTGCAGTATGAGACTGCAGTACACATAGTTTGAGCACATGATTCAACGAGGAGTAAACGTGCATCACCATGTCTTTCTAGAGGACTACCTCAGACCACGTTCCTGTGACTGAACGAGATATGCCCAGATGTAACTTAAATGAGCCCCAGCTAGGCTGATGTGTATTTTAAAGGACTGAGCAGGACAGCTTTTAATGAGGTGTGAAAGGCAACTTCAGCAAGGGAGCACGGTTGCAGTATGGGGCTGTTGAGAGGAACAGCAGCACATAATGCACGGGGATGAGGGGCTGAGGAGGTGTCAGCCCAGATGACTTGCACCTTCTGCTGCATGGGAAAATAAAGGAAAGCCCACACTAGAGCAGGTGAGTCCCATGGATGAAAACATAAGCCGAACCTGATGTAGCAGTGGCAGGGGTGGGTGGTATTCAAAGCACCCAGGCTTTCATCAGCAATAATTGCATTCAGAAGGAGGTGGAGGTGTGGGAAAGAATAGAATTAAAAAACCATACATTACCATGTGTCAAATCACTGGAGTCATCTTCTGGGAACAGCTCATCAGAAACAGTGGGATCTGGAAGAGGATAGCCACTGTACAACAGGTGGGCATTGCTAGATCTCCCCGCACTAGCAGACCATTGCGCAGTTCCAGGTCTGGAAGATGTTGGGGGTCTTGGGCCATACCCAGACTGCCTTGCTACTGCCCCAAGATAGGGATCTAAGAGAGAGATTTTGCTAGCGTAAGCACAGTCATGCAAGGCTTCAAACAACACCATCACCACACACTGCCAATACAGTGACTGCTGCTGCACACTTGGAGCTGCTGGGGACAGAAAAATCTGTCATTGCAGCTACAAGAAACATGCTGGAATGGGTCAAGCCTGGAGAGAGTGGGCTTCCTGGTGCTGCACGCAGTCCCCAGTAGCTGTCCTCTGCAGACAGCAGAATCTGGGGACCCCCAACTAAACCAAAGTCTCTTCCTACCCTCCGCCTGCTCCTGGGCACCAGGGACAGGCTGTTGGCTGAGGATAGGGTCAGGAACTGCTCTGTGCTGACCACCTGCCTCCAGCTGCCCCACAGGTGAGCCTGGATGTGTCCAGGGCTCTGCTACTTCCCCTGCCCGCATGCCTAGGGTAAGGGTAAGCTGCCTCTCATTTGCTACCCTCCTGCCTGCAAGGGAACCACTGCAGCTCTAGTCTTAAAATATATTGCTTAAATGACCAGGGACAACACAGATGGTGATGGCCACTTTACCAGAGCTATTAGTCAATTAGGGGAAACCACATAACAGAAGTTACAGAAATCTGGGAATAGCAGTGCTAGATTTTTCCAGTACTGCCTAAGACACAGATACTTCTCTACCACAGAAAGAAAGGCAAAACCTGAGTAATTGTAATGCTACAGGGCAGGGTGGATTATACAAAAGCTAGCAGACAGAGCCTTGTCCTCTTACCTGCCCAACTGCCAGCTGTCCTGGCAGCACAGCACAGCTGTAAGGGCAACATGTGCAGCCAACAACACACAGGAAAGTGAATTTCATTTCAGTGTCTTGATGAATAGTGTGCTTTGTACAGTGTTGAGCATCTACCAGCTCTACAGTGGAGCAATCAGATCTGCAATAATATGGCCATTTCCTTAAAAGCTGAGTGTTAGGGACCTTTAAAATATCTTGGCCATAATTGTTAATAAAACCCCATGAAATACACAGTGTGTGAAAAGTACCTGAATTAACATTGCTATAGGAAAGAAAAAAATATGGGGATGTCTGAACCTGACCATATGAACTCATTAGTTTAGAGCTGAAGGCAAGAATATAAGTCTGGTTACACTAGGAAAGAATAATATGAATTCACGGTTTTGTGGTCTGTCCCTACTGTTTCTGTCTGCCCAGTTTGTTAACTAGTTTTCTGAACCATAGCTGATGTTGCCAAAGCAGGATCACTGAGGGATCAGATTTTAATGGATTTTTTCCCCTACCATAACTACTATTGCAACTAATGATTTGGACCCACAGGGATTAAATAGACGACACATGTAGGTACTTATTCCAAAACAAACTAAATTTTTAATGGAGTACAGTTGGCAGGCAAACCACAACTGGGGGGGCTGGGAATCCAACTGCATTGCCCACACTAATGGGAAGCAACAGGAGCAGTTATAGGAAATATTTGTAATATTTAATGGTACATGGTAAAGTGCATGTAGCATGATATGTAAAAGCATGGACATCTGAACTATAACCAAGGCTACAGACAAGGAGACAGCAGATTTTTAAACCATTTACTCTCTACTAATGAATGTAATGGACTTAATCACAGAGGCAAAGAAAATGGAACAGATCTATTACAAGACCATACAATCTCAGTTGCTAGGATGTTGATACCATTGAGGAGTGGTGACCAAATTGCCTTTCCTATTATGAAATTGGAGCAGGAAATCCTGCTACATCCATGCTAAATGGCATTGACTGGTGACATGGAAAGGGCTGTGAACAGCTGTTGTTGAAACATTCCTTTCCAAGCTTTGCTTTTTCCCATCGTGCAGAATGCACACTAAGTACAGACTCCCAGCCACTGCTGGATTTGCCTAATACTCTAAAAGTCGCCTGCATTTTTCTGATCTTGATGCCCAGCTTAGGACAGCTTTCATTTAAATCTGCACTATGCTGAATTCCAGCTTCATCACTTCCAAAGTGAAGACGACAATGTTCTTCATCCCTCCACTATAATTAAACATTGGCTTTGAAGAAACCAGCTTGCTCTTCATCTTTCTTTTTTGTACATCGTAACCTGAAAAATGAACCCCTAGAGGAAACCTGACATACCTAACCATGAAATGTCTCCAGCTAAAACACCTTCCTTGATGGATTCCTTGATGATTAGCCAATCCTCATGCATCTTCTTGGAAGGAAGGAGAGCAGTCTGGCTTGCTGGTATTTCATCCAAATACTCCAAGTGGGGAATGAGTTTTTTTACTTCAGCTCTGTAATTATAATCTGGCTCCTGGAGAAATTGAGAAAGTGGTAACTCGAGCAGTTTTTTTAACAGACTGTGGACTTCCACCAGCAACAGAGCAGTGTTCAATTTGTATGACTACAACATAACTTGAAACACCTTCTATGAGGCAAAACTATTCACCTCATTCAACAGAAATAAATAGGAGTTTCATTTCACCGTGCTTTCTCCTCACATAATTTCTACTCAAATTGATCATGAACATGTCCTGAGCAGTGCAAACACATGCCCCGCATGCAAAGGCTCCTTTTCTGTTTATCCACTGGTGACTTTGGCATTTGTTATATTATGTATAATGTACAAAAGCGTAGAAGGCCACCGTTGCCCCTGTAAAGCCTGGGCACCCTGAGCATTCAGCCAGCCTCTCTCCCTGCTTTTGTGATTCTGATTGCTGCATCAATACTCAGGTGATAGGAAGACTTGAAAACATGGTGTAAATGCTGCTACACCTGCTGATGGAAAAAGAAAGAGCATTTCCATGGATTGTGTTTTTAGGCACACCCATAAACCAACTACAGCGAATGAACTGCACTGATTTTCGGGGCAGTCTTCAGCAGTTTGGTGTGAAGCAATGGCTTCCCTCAAAGTACATTTACTTCTGCAAGAGCTTGCATGCCAACAGCAGGTGCACAGAAGACTAAAATGGACTGCACTTAGGTTTTTTTTTCTGTCTGCTGGAAAAAACAATGTGATTGCTCCCAATGCACATAGAGTCAGTGTGACAGCCATGGGGGAAAGCAAGGATGCAGCCCCCTTCTACATGAGTGGGTGCAGCTGACGTTATAAAATGATTCATGAGTACATGCCAATGCCTGGGGACCTCTGAGCAGCAAGGCCAATCCAGAACAATTATAACTGTGTTCAGAGTACACTGCAAATTAGGCTGTTTTGGTGGATTCCAGTGGTAGAAAGACACCTTGACGTGGCACCTTCATCTTTGGGAAGACTCAGCCATACCTCAGGGCTGACTCGGTCATGCCGCTTTGCAATGGGAATACTTTTTGTTAAAACAGTCTCAGATTGCAAAAGGCAGCAAACGGTGATGTTAATCTCTTCTACTTAAAGAAAGTAAAAAGCAAGAGTGCACTGCTAGTGGCAGAATATGAATGGACAACTACCTACAAACCAACTGCTTCATCCAGATAAATGTTACGCTTTTCAAGACATTGCATGCAATATTAGAAAACCCCACAGGGCCAAACTCTCATTCAACACAGGGTTGTCACAAACAGAAAACTTTCTGAGGGACCTGGCTGGCTGTATGCTTCCTCCCTCCACATGATGCAGCACTGAGGCTAGCAGAGGGAACTCACCAAATAAAGCGTGTTTGTTGTTAAGAGGCAGACTCTAAATTTCTCTAACTAAGCCTTTAATCTTAATTTAGAAAATGAGTCAACCAATCACCATGCTACCCCATACCACATGTACTCTGAACAGTGCCTGGGCTACAGCCAATTTCCAGCCATGTCCTGTTGGAGAGAAGCATCATGTTACGCTCATGTTACATTACTGCAACAGAGGCTGCAGAATTTATCATCAGGTTGTTGCTCTTGGTTTAGATAACAGGGGAAGATGAGCTCATATGAAAATCAAATTACAGAGAGCAAACAGGCCATGTGAAAAAGGAGCAGTAAATTTAGCTGGACCATTCTGTAGATTAAAAGTAAATAATTAGGAGAGCTTTTTACAGAGCTGTAGCAAGGGCCAGACTACAAGAAGGAGCTTGAGGAATCAAAGCTGGCCACCTAGGGCATGCCAAAGTAAGCCCACATCTATCCTTTTCTATATTTCAGGTGACTTTTCTATACCCTGAAGAAATGCAAACAACATCAGTTGAAACCAAGAAAGTGACAAAGCCCATGGAGAAGCTCTTGGCAGCTGAGGGCAGAGCCAGGTTTGTAGCCATGCCAGGGCTGAGCAGCTTCCCAACACAGAGACTGCGTGGGAGACTACAGTGAACTTACAGTCTGTCTCTGTTACAGCTCGGTGTAAAACACCGTTGTGCAGACTCCCTCACCAAATTCTGGTTGGCATTTGAATGCAACTACTTGCACAGGAGTAGAGACTGCCATTCAGCATGGAGAAGGGCAGTAGGGCACACCACCACGTACCACTCCTCTTTGAACTCCTGTTACATGACGACACACAGCAGCATCCCAAGGACTGATTTCCTCAGCTAAACAAATTGAGGGCAATCTAGCATTTCTCTATTACAAGTATGCTTACAGACTGAAGATGTCGAATGAAAACTATGATGTACTGCA